GGTGAGTGATGCCAAAGCTTCCGCTAAGATACTTCGGAGATCTTCTTTTTCCAGTTCTTTTATGCCTTGAAATCGGAGAGTCAAGTTTGATTTTTCCATTTGAAGCATCAATAACTTTTTATCTTGCATTTCTTGATGTTTTCCCATTTTCACCACCTTCTTCTTGACCTTTTGAGTATCTTCTGCTGAGACCAGACATTTTTGCACCATTTCCTCCATTTTCTTAGCTGTATCATTCAGCTGAATCTGCTGGTTACTGAGAACCCTTTCCATGCTTGTCAAAGTCTGATTTATTTTTTGCATTTGCTCCAGCAGAGGGCACAGAAGCTCGCTCTCCTGTTGAGTGACAGCCGGCTCCAAGGGGCGGGAGGCAGCACTGGAAGTTCCTCCCAGCTTCTTTACCGACTTCTCCTGAAACTTTTTCTGCCCCGACATCTTTGTTTTATTGTTTATTTTTTTAAAAGTTCGTGCCACGCAGCTGACAAATGAGTCTATCTGTCTTTCTTTCAATAATTCACCAAAAGGTAACACCACTCTTTTAAAATTTCACTCCCCCCCTCTTCTTTCTGTTAAATCACTCTGTTTAGTCGGGGGGGCTCTCCCCCTCCTCCCTTGCACTTTTTCGTTAGGGGGGGAATGCACGTCACTGTTTTTCCCGTTCCTGATCGGCAACTCAGTTTTGGCTGAATATCTTCCATTCAAACGCTTTTCTGCTTCATCACTCAGTTATGTCTGGCGGCTCTGCTAGTCCCCGTGCGAGGCACCGTCGTGGCAAGAGCCATTGGGGCATGGGGCGAGCGTCAATTTCTGACCTTCGGGCCGGGAAAGAGGCACATCCCCTGTGCGCCCCGGATCGGAACCTCTGTCTGAGGCTCCTTAGGGTCTCCGCTTGTGTGGATTCCCCCCCTTAGCCACGCGTGGGCGAATCGCCTCCGGGAGCTTCCCGAAGTTGCGACCGCCATTCACAGAGTCCAGACCAGAAGCCCAGTTCTCCTCCTTTATTGATGAACCGGGATATGTACAGCATGCTGGATGGCAAAATACAGGTGGCAGAAAGTTTTACATGTGGTACTTGTTGCTTACATTGTAAAGTGGAGGAGTGTGAGAATACTATTCGAGAGAGCTGCTTGTAAATACAAAGGCAGTATTATAGAGGCAGGTAATGGTACACACAAAGTTTTGTGCATGTGTCCTAGAAACAAATTGCTAAGGCTACCAACTTGAAACTGTGAAGGCTCAAAACAAAAATCTGCAGAAATCTGAAGGTCATGAAGTCAAACGCCTACAATGCCTCAACAGTCCATGCATATACTCCTTTATAAGCAATTTGCAAGTGATTTCTTTAGGGCTCATCCACCTTTGCTAGCTGCTGTTCTCTGTCTTGTACTCTGTTCTTGTGCACTCCATGACCTCCTGCCAGAAAGAACACTGTATTCCCAATCTAGAACCAATTCATCATGAGTATAATCGGCAACTCAGTCTGAATTGTGCATTACTGTGTATCTGCCTGAGTGGACTGAACAGTGGCAGGGAGGCACGTTTGCTGCATGACCTCTCTAACGCAACCACAGCCCTGCTCAGATTTGCTCACCACCCATTCCTTGCTGCACCAGTTGGGTGTTGTGAGTTGGCTCTTTTCTTTATCTTATTTATAGCCTGCTTTTCTCACCAATACTCCATAGAGATTACACAGTCCAGAAAGAGCGAGAGAGAAAGGGGGGGGGGAATAATCATACAGAATGTAATTGAGTGGCTAACAAAATAGCACCAGGAATACAAAACTGAACAAAGTAAACACCAGTACAACCATACGGTACAAGATAACACCTTAAACAAGGTGGTAACTAGGAATACAAAATTAATTCACCATGCGAGCAGCCAGCTTCCCAAGTCAAGGTAGTTAAAGCAATGCAGAATGTGGGACTACAAAGATATAAGCAATGCAGTACCCCTTCCCACTCCCATATGGAGGCACCCTGCCTCAGCATTCTGTCTGACTACAGATCAAGTCCATTACAAGAATGCCCTCCTGAATATTTCTGTGTTGCACATTTGTGGAATGATAGCACTGTGAGAACCCCCGTGATCTCTTTTGGCAGGCAAGGTGGGAGCCACCACAGAGCATGTGTGTGAGTGGGGCAGTGTTTAGGGTCGGCAAGACCTTCAATGCTCATGCTGTTTAGCACTAACACTGCACTTATTTTTTTAAATTAATTTTATTGAGTTTATTGCAACATATATACAAAACAAGAATACATTAGTATTGTACAACCTTGTGATAAGTAAGATATTGAACATATAAGATGCATAGAATGTAATACAAAAATACTTCTCAGTTATGTTGCATTAGAGAAGTGGATCATAACGCTGAATTTAAACCAACCTCCTACCAAACATATTATACAACCTTTTTAGTGTCAGATATTTAGCAAGTTCATATGAACCAATTTTTTAGGAGCCACACTGTGAGAAGCCAAATAACCTAATACAGGAAACCATTTTACTACAAATTTGAAGTATATATCCCTATCCATATAACTTTGAGTTATTTGATCAGTGATTTCACACACACCCCTGATTATATATAGATTTCATATCTTGTTATGCACTTATTTATTTAAACAGCCTGGCCTTGGTCTTTCTTCTACAGGGTTTTCAGTTCAATTTACATTGATAGAATAAAAATTACAATTGTGTATTTCTTGTGCAGTCAGGATAGCTAAAAGCAGGCATAACTACCAACACCTTCCCAATCAGTCCCATTGCTGTTGTGCCATAAAATCTAATGACACACAGTGGCTTCATTCACTTAGGGCAATGGGAAAGGGTCTGCAATTAAAATATTCTGGAGAAGTCATTTACCAACCTGCCCAGAATCTGGTGTCTGAAGGATATGGGGGCAAAATGGGAGTCCATTTGGGTGTCACATTTCTCCACCATGTCTTCCTCCTCCCATCCAAGGGAGCACAACAGAACCATTCAGTTTTTGGAACAAAGAGGAGAATGCACTCAACCAACAAGAAGAAAGTTAATCAGTTACTTCATTTCCTTCATGCAGCTTTTTCTCCCTCTGTCTGTTGCCTTCTGAGCAAGTTGTGAACTAAATTCACCAGAAGTCCTGAATTTAGGAAGATCTCCATTCTGTGGAGCACATTTGGATGAAAGACCTGTGGATTCTGCATGATTTATAAGATTTTATATACTCAGTTTGCAAAGGTCAGATTAGGTGTTGAAGCTGAATTCACAGTTGCCATATTTTTGGTGGAGTGCAAGGTAGTGTGGTCTCTACCAGCTATTGCTTTGCTAATGTAAATATGAAGTATTAGTAGTCTGTGAATATTGCATCAGAAAACTGGTCCAAGGTTTGTCTTCTTTTGTTTGCAGTTTTCAAATGTGATTTTTGTCTGTAAAGCTCCTGAAATCTAGAGATTCATTTCAGTCAGCTAAGCGAGAGGGCACTTGAGGGTACACATTAATGGGCCATTAACGTTTCCCTTAGTACTCCAAGGGGGTAAAGATTGAATAGATAAACAGCCAAAACATGCATTTAATGGTCCATGAATGATTGAATGCTATGGATTCTGTTCGGAGCTGTTATTCTGCTTGTATTTATGGTCTTCGTGGGGCGTGTTACAGCCAGGAATAATAACTCAAAGCAGAACAGGAACAAAAGAAAGAAGTGAAGTGCTTAATATAATAAAGTTCTAACAAGCTGATGTCTCTTACAATTAACACCCAGTGCGGCTTCCTTGCCACTGATTTGCCTGTGCCTTCCACATTGTCTCTATGCTGATTTACTCGCTCACTGTACAATTGAATATCGCACTACACATAGGGCCTCCAACCGTTTGGGGGGAAGCTGGTATGTATTGT